CGGTTATGTTGGAGTCGGCATGCTGATAGGGCTCCAAGTCCATGGTGTGCCAATCGAGATTCCCAATGATATAGCGATAGTCGCTGGTCAGCAAGCCTGTTTGCTGCGCCTGCTTGAAGAACTCGGGCAGCGTTTCCATCGATCCAACCACCACGAATGAATCGTCCTCTGAGTTACGTATGCGCCGCAGCACATTGCGATAGTTGCCATTGAGATCCAGATCATAGCGACGAAGTGTTATGGTCGGACCAACTGTGCCATACATCTGCAGCAGCTCATTGACTGTGACCAGATACTCGCCCGACTCGTAGATGATGGTGAAGCTCTCCCAGCCAAGTGCAGTGACCAGATCTTTGAGCGCAACTCCCAATTGTGCTGGATGCGGATGCAGGTTGATGGTGGGCAACTGGGCACCAAAGTCCCAGCGTGTGTCCAGAAAAGGTAGCTCCTTGGCATCGCAAATGCTCAATGCGTGACGAGCCGCTCGATTTGTCGTGGGTCCAAAGACTGCCACTAAATTTTGCTGCAAAAATGTAAATCATAACTTTGTTTTGCAATATGTCATAGATTCTGGCCTACCCTTAGCATTTTGCATAACTTCTTGGAGGTCTCGAAGGCATTGCTTGGCTCAATGGCCACGGCCACGCCGTGCAGCTTAAGTTCTTCGTTCTCCTCGTTCGCCTTGCCAATGGCTAGGTGGAAAATTTTCTCAAGATCGGGGTTGGTGTTTTCATAAATAAGACCTATTGTAAACAAAAAAGAAAGAAGTGCGCAGCTATTCATAGTTTGTCGATTTTGTTTTTATTTTGCTTTGCAAATTCTGTTTACGAATTCTACAGGGCCAGAAACAAATGCGCCCAATTCGCCGCATGTGCCATATGTTTCTTCCGTTGCTGCATAAAATACACGCACACACACACACACATGGACCAATACACTCACACACACGGAAAGTGCTAGCAATATTTGCAGGGCGCTGTATACATTTTCGATTACATAACCATTTTTTGCCGAAAAACAATAAATTCTCCTAGTTTTTTAGCGCCCAACTCACCCACATTGGTTCGCTCGGCTCGACAGATGTCCAACAGACTTGTGAAGGCGCACAGAGAAATCAACCAAATGGCCCAGTGGACCGCCGAGGGGCGGGGCTGGCCCCCCGTGAATAGATGCGGCATCCGATCGTTGATTGCTTTTGCAGTAAATGCAATTAATAATCAATTCATTAATTGCTTTTTAATAGACTCGTTAAATTTTTGGTATTGTACGTACAGTTTTTCTTGCGAGTAATTTTTATTGCATAGCTAAATTTAGTTTTTATAGTTTTGCATTTGCTTTTCGACTGTCTGCAGCGAATGTGAATTCGCGCGGCGAATGTCGCAGCGTGTTGTAGGTACATACATTCACACACATAGAGGAAGAATTGAGGCAAATTACATTTGCAGCAGCATACGAATTCGCCGCAGCGTCTTTTCAAAGATAGTTGACATTCTTTCTGCTTTGCAAAGGATTAAAATGAGAACAGTCTTGATTAAGTTCTCTCAATTTAGCAAATAGAACTCGCTGCAACTCTGATATTTAATTTAAAATAACTTTTAAATGAGCAAATTCTTTAGTGATTTTAAACAAACATTGAGTCCACAAGCTGAATACAGCAAAAGTTAATAACCAGCTTAAACTCAAACTAATGGGCAACATTTACATTATAAAGTTTTCCAAACAATTTATACGCAAACAGTGCTGCCAAATATTTTTGCAACTACGTACATATATATTTTTGTATAGCCTGGGGCACACTGGCAGGCATTAACTTTGTCGGCTTTGAATAATCCACTTAAATTGCATAAAGCAAGAGAGTCTCTTATTTTTTATAACGAATGCATCTATTTATAGCAGCTTGGAGCACCAGGCATGCTATATAACGTATATACGTATATACACGTACTTTTGGGAATGTCCTTCGTGCACAATGCCTCTGCAACATGCAACATCATTTACGAGGAGGGGGCAGGGAGGAGAGGCGGCACTCTCAGTCAAACTGTTGCTGCAGGCAGTAAATAAAATCAGCTTCTACGATAACGCACGCAGACAAACTGTCTGTCCCGTTCCATTTTTTGCACTCTCTTTCTCTCTCTCTCTCTCGTCTTTTTCATATATGTAAATACTGAAATCCCTGGCCGCGTCTCCGTGGCCGTCTCGGTCTCTCACCATGTTTTTGTTTGTTGCTGTTCGCTGCATACTTATGCATTTTTTATTTACATGCCAGGCACTGCCATTAAATCTATTGCCATGTACGTCCTTCCCCGCGGCGCCTTAACGCCGAGGATTGCATGGTGTTAAATTGCCCAGCAGCCCGGCGCACATTTGCATTCCTCGCGTGCGCAGCGGCGCGTGCAGGCTTTCAGAAGACGAGTACCTTGAGGATGCACAGACAAGAAGCCCGGCAGCGCACACACAAACATGCCTCATCTCTTTGTCACACATTAGAAAAGTTCTTGGCGTATATTCTTAAGTCGCCTGTGCTCTAACTTCTGGCAATTATCCATGCCACACAATGGACAGTAATCACTGGCTACATCGACCACGGCGTAAATCAATAGCCGACTCGGCTAATCGGTGGCTCCTGCTCTTCCATCTTCTATCTTCCGACAACAATTGCAATTCGCCTCACATTAGTTGTGTCAATATTTAAGGGCTGTCAGTTGCGTGTATATAAGAATGAAAGCCTGTATGTATGTATGTGTGTATGTATGTATGCATGTTTTTATTTGCCTGCCTTGAAATTCCGTTGTTTGGCATTGGGCAATCTCGTTGCACAAAAACAAATTCGCCATTTGCAGCAAAGTTTTGATTGACAGTGGAAACCTTGAGAGATAGGAAATGCTATTTTGGACATCGATCAGGCAATCAGGCATGAAATATGCATTGAATATTTGTGCAACGCTGCGAATGAGTAACAAATGTTCACACTGACTGCATTCAGAATGAAACAGCAATAATGTGAATACTGACATGTATTTGCCATATGATCTATTATCCTTGTAATTGACAGGATGCCAGTTCGTAACTTGTGCGTAATAATCTGTTTGAAAAGTGATAAAATGTTTTTGCTTTGCTTTGTAATTTATTTAATTATCATTGTAATTGACAGGATGCCAGTTCGTAACTTGTTCGTAATAATCTGTTTGAAAAGTGATAAAATGTTTTTGCTTTGCTTTTGAAAAATATTAAAATCTACAAGCGCTTGTTTTTAAGAGTTTCTCCAGGTAATTGTGATTAGCCTGCTTTACACGTTATACTCTGGAGATTGCTCAAAGGTAAACAAACAAATCAGAAGCAGCACGTGAGCTCCTTTTTGCTACTCTGAAGCGACAATTTGGCGTGTTGTCAAAACAAGATGCGACATGCTCACAGACAAATACACGCACACGCACCAGCACACACACACGCACGCACACGCACACGCACACACACTCATACTTGTGTAAACAAAATCAATTTCCAGGCAGCCAAAAAGCATCGCGGCGGGAAGATTGCGCAACGCTCGAGTTTCGGGAGGGTGAGCCACAGACCGCAGCCATAAGAGCATGAGAGCAGTGCACTCACACTGGCCACAAAAGTACTTATGTTCTCTTCTGCCTCTACCTCTGGTCCTCATGCTCTCTCTCTCTCTCTCTTTCTTGCTCTCTTGTGTTCTCTCTCCCTTCCGTACATACACAGAGCACGTGCCGCGTAATGGCGCGTAAATTGTTGCTGCCATCTTAATGTGTGTGTTCCTAAAAACCGCAAATTCTACGGCACAATGACTAAAGGACCCCGTCAGGGGCCAGCCAAGGTGACCGAGCCTAACAGGCGACTGATAAGCGACTGCGAGCCAGGGAAAACATGTTGAAGGGCATCAACCAGCACTCAAAAGAGGCAGGTGCTAGGAAACGGAAATGAACTGAATCAGCACAAACGAAACCTGCAAAAAGGAGTTTGGGTTTGCTTGAACATACTCAAATAGTCGCCGCAGCTGGGACACTATTCAGTGGCCAAAATGTTGTCTCAAGCGAAAGTTTTCACTTCAATTAAACCTACGGGTATGCGTGTGTGTGTGTGTGTTCATGTGAGTCAAGTTTAAAGCACAAACGAAGTTTTTTGGGCCTGCTTTTGCTCTGGCTGGTTTTTAGGATGGCCATCTGGGGCTAATACTGACCCCGCCCCCCTTGAACGGCTGCCCAATGAGCTGGTCGAGTCGCCAAGGCAATGTTCAGTGTCTGTCAACAGGCATATGAATTGTTAACTTGCCGCAGGTAAGCGTGAGAACAGCCAGGCAGACAAATCTGCCAACATGCTGTCCGTTTGGCAAGCAGCCAACGGGGGGCCAGTTCCAGCCTCAAGCACAAAGTGGGCCAAGTGGGGAGGAGAAGGGAGGGAGCCCAACCAGTTGCGTTTAGTCGTGCAAGGCACGTTTGCTGTGGCCTGATGGGCAAATGGGTAAATGGGCAAATGTCAGTGCCAAGGTGCCAAATCGTCAACGCCTGTTGCCCCAAAAATGGACAGCCGAGGTTTAAAGGCGTGTGTGCATGTCAATTAGGAAATGGCCTGGTTGGCTGACCGAACGAGTATTCTCCAGTTCGATGCGCCCCACTGCGTATGAGTGCTGGTTGCATGCAACACTTGATGCCACTAACCAAACAAAACAACACCTGGTCGCTGCGTCAAGCACTCATCAATCGCACATATGCATAACGTTCTCTCAAGGCCCTTGCCCAAAATATATAGCTGAACATTGGAGAATTTAACCACTTGTTAAACAAAATGTTATTCAATAACAAAACAAATGCAACGTGTGCGCGACTCACGCGCCTCTCTCTCTCTTTCTCGCAATCTCTCCGCCTCCGAAGCTGCGCTGACTCTCCCGACAGTTTCTACAATGCATACACACATATTTTTACACCACACCAGCGAGAGAACGTTTGCCAGGCAGGCAGGCAGGAGGCCAGTTCGACACGAGAGCTCAGCGAGTGCGGACACGCGAAACGGACGAAACGGTCGATCGGAATCGAAGCTAGATAACAGCGCGTGCCAAAGCCATAAACCATACAACAAAAACAGCAACAAGCCAATCTGTGCGAACAGAAAATCCTGTGAGTGTAGACATCGCCACCGAGCGAAGGCATTTAACTGCGAATCACGCATTTCCCATATGTGCTAGAAGTGAGAACTGAACTGAACGGTAAATACAGGCAAACGGTTAATATTGAAGTTTAAGCTATGCCCGAAATTGTGGAATTGAATGTTGGCGGGGTCCACTACACGACGACGCTGACGACCCTGCTGCAGGAGAAGGGGACGCTGCTGTACGAGCTGTTTGCTGGCCCGGAGGGTCGCGAGTCGCTGGCCAAGGACAGCAAGGGCCGTTATTTCCTGGACCGTGACGGTGTCCTTTTCCGCTATATATTGGACTATCTGCGCGACAAGGCGCTGAATTTGCCGGAGGGTTTCCGTGAACGCCAGCGCCTGCAGCGCGAAGCTGAGCACTTCAAGTTGGCCGCCATGCTGGAGTGCATACGCGGCGACCGCGATGCCCGGCCGCCGGGCTGCATCACGATTGGCTACCGCGGCAGTTTCCAGTTCGGCAAGGATGGCCTGGCCGATGTCAAGTTCCGCAAGCTGTCGCGCATCTTGGTCTGCGGCCGTGTCGCCCAGTGTCGCGAGGTATTCGGCGACACGCTGAATGAATCCCGAGATCCCGATCACGGTGGTCCGGATCGCTATACGTCGCGCTTCTTCCTAAAGCACTGCTTCATCGAGCAGGCTTTCGATAATCTGCACGATCACGGGTATCGCATGGCCGGCAGCTGTGGCTCCGGCACCGCTGGCTCTGCGGCAGAGCCCAAGCCAGGCGTGGATGCGGAGGAGAATCGATGGAATCACTACAATGAATTTGTTTTCATTCGGGACTAAGCAGCTGTAGAAGTTCTTTTCTGTTTGTGATACGATTAACTATAATTTAGATACGACTCTTCCGGCAAATATTTGCGAAAGGGAGAGAGGAAAACAAAGCATTTGTCACCAAATTTACCTATTGGCCTAATCTGAATAGAATTTTCATCAAATCGAAATTCGTTTTTTAGCATTGAGGAACTAAGAAGAATCTTTTAATCTTAAATGATTTGAGCCCACCTTTATATTCCGATGGGAACATTTTAAGCGTACAAAATTATGTAACAATCCCCATAGGCAAATACCCAAGCGGTTTACCTGAGAGTAAGCAGTTTATTTACCCATGCCTAGTTCCGATTAATCAAAGCAGTTTTGAATCCTAGTGAATTATGCGAATGAATTATTATACGCAAAGCAGCGGCTGATGAATATAACAAGTATTCGATGTTATCCTGAGTGCGTAAAGCGAATAAGTTATGATTTTTGAATTGTTAAATCAATTACAGGAAATTAGTAATTATAAATTTGGGGAAATGCGAATGTTAATGAAATAAACCAGAGCAAACGTAAACAAACGTAATTTGAAGAAATCTAGAAATAAATTTACAAACATGTTTTTACCTATATAAGTAGGATCAGCTCTAGACAAACTGTAAGAATTTATCGGCTATTTAAACAAAAACCAACTAAAAGCAACTATTTAAATACGGGTCACTTCTTCAGTAAATAACATATAAAGGAAAGTCAGTTAATATGCAATCTTTCCCGCAAGTAAAGCGAATGATTTCTTAGAAGAAACCTATGGTAATTTATGGTAAATTGTTCAAGGATAAATAATTAGAAAAAAAGTCAAATAGCAACTGAATTTCAATAAGTATTAATCAAAGTACAGAAAAATATACAAGGAAACAAACACTTACAACGCTTTTTAAACTGACAATTAATAACAAAATAATGTCAAATATACAATATTGAGTATATACATAATACTTGACTCCAATATGAATTCCATATTTCTTGCCAAAAAAAACTGAAAGAAAGTTAGGAGCATCAAAAAATTGTCAGCCAAATGCCATTAAGCATAAATATCTTGAAAAGTCTAAGTGATTAAAAGTTAGAATGGAAAAAGGACTAGTTGAATATATAAAGGATTCATTCAAAAAATATCATCATTTAAATATTGTTATTAATTGGACTTTATCAAATGTGAATAGGCGGAATTTAACTTAACAACTTTAAGAAATCGAATCATTATTTTTTACAGCTATTTACAGAGTTCCCCAAGCATGTCTTCGAAATTATTTATATATATATATATATTTTGCCAAAAATTGACCGAAAGAACTTCCACGAAAATGCTAAAAATTTGCTGAACTTTGTAAAGTGTTTAAGTTGATGTTTCGACTGTCATTGAATAACCCCCAGAACAATCAATATATCAATATATATTGCTGTCAATAGTTTACCCTGCTGAAATTGTGATGCGTTTAAATTTCTGTTCAAATTTCAAATAAATATTTACATATGTGTGCATAAACATTTGCAGGCAACTCGACAAGGCTTGAAGGGAACTACCACATATAATTGGTCTTAAATGATAATTGTATAAAATGAAATAGTTCACATCGTTTAAATGTCAGATATGTATGTATAATGTACATTATAGCAAAATGTTTGGGATTATACTTAAATCAACTTTTAAGCCCCACTATAGTTATGTTATGAGGAAACCTAGCGCGTATTCGTATACATGCATATATTTAAATCAATTGTCGATATTGAATTATCTATATATGTTTAGCATTAAGTTCAGTGAGCATATTACACAAAACAAAAAAAAGCAAGTAAATAAATTATATATGTATTAATGAGCTGTAAAACGAAATTAACTTTTATCTAAAAAAAGTAAACGTATTATGATCATAAATAGGCGCCAACAGTCTATCAAAGTGCGACAAGCTAAATCTATGTAAAAAAAAATATACTACAAATAAAATAACTATAAAATTAAACTTTCTGTTATAAGATGTGGAAATGCAATTTTCGTTTCGCAGTGTTCAATTGTACAAACATATAGAAAATTGTATGGGATTATATATAAATTGTGCCCTTTAAGTAAACAGAACGATACAGAAGGGCTATCTGCGGCACGCCGAACACTTAATACCCTTGCAGACCCAACCTTTTTCATAATGCTCATAGTGGTTTGCCCGTATCTAAGAAGCACAGTGAAAATAGATTGAAAACAAAAAAGTTTCCATGCAAGAACCTACTTTTCGACCGATCGTTCCTATGGCAGCTATATGATATAGTGGTCCGATATAAATAAGATTTTTTGTAAATATGGGGAACATGGTGAAATCTCTAAATGCTGAGTTTGGTCAAGATATCTTGAAAAATAAAAAAGTTTTCCATACAAAAACTTAATTTTCGACCGATCGTTCCTATGGCAGCTATATGATATAGTGGTCCGATATAAATAAGATTTTTTATAAATATGGGGAACATGGTGAAATCTCTAAATGCTGAGTTTGGTCAAGATATCTTGAAAAACAAAAAAGTTTTCCATACAAAAACTTAATTTTCGACCGATCGTTCCCATGGCAGCTATACGATATAGTAGTCCGTTGTTGATAGGATTTTGCAAAAATATGAGGAGCATAGTAAAACTAATAAATGCCGGTTTTGGTCAAGATATCTTGATAAACAAAAAAGTTTTTATACAAGAACCGACTTTTCGACCGATCGTTCCTATGGCAGCTATATGATATATTGGGCCGATCCAGCTGGTTCCGACATATATACTGCGTGCAACAGATAGAGGCACTTCTGCAAAATCTCATAAAAATAGCTTTAAAACTGAGAGACTAGTATATCGACTCGGCTGTTGATACTGATCAAGAATATATATACTTTATGGTGTCGGCGATGTCTTCTTCAATGCGTTACACATTTCACGATAAAGTTATAATACCCTGAGGGAGATAGAAAGAGGACGACTCGCTGTGCCCATCGATTCAAATGTCAGTTTAATTGGGACTCTCTTCATGCTGCATGATAAGCCATAATAAGATATTTATGACATTTCATTTATTCATTGAATTGTTGCAGCAATATTCATGCAAAATTTATGAACTGTTAATGGAATATCCCAGTTAAAAAGAGAGGCAAATACAAAGATAATTATCTACAATACAACTTAATACAAAAGGTGCATAGAGCAGGTGCCTGCCACACGTCGTCGAAGGCAGCTAAATGCTTGGAAAAATTTAAATAACTGAAAAGGCAACGAGATCATAAAACTGAACACAACCTGGCATTTGTTTAAATTCAAGGCAGACAACAATCATTTATTTACGCAAGCGAGGAGCCGCAGTAAGTGGGCAAAGGAACAAAGGACTCGCTGCGAGTCCTGCGCGTGCACGTGCATTTTCTGGCCCACAACAACAACAACAAAATGTTGAAATTAAACGAGAAAAGGCAAATGCTTTTCTCTGAATGTGCGTGTTGAAGTATGTTGAATGGGAAAGTGCAATGCCGCCCCTTTTTACATCGGGCATCATAAGGCAGCAGAATGTAGACAGGCAGACAGCGAGGTGAGCGTGTGCCACCTGCATACTAAGCATCCTACCTGAGGCGTCTCACGTATTTTTTTTTCGGGCTCTGTTTATTGAGTATATGCTCAGGACTAAAACAATATGCAAATTGTGCAGATGGCGGCATAACAATATACGGGAAAAAAAGAACGTAAGGAAAACGCCTGAGATACGCATATAAATTACTGTCAGCAATGCCACGCCCATAAATTCAAGGGGGCTGACTGGCAGGGTCTATATGAAATGATGGCCTTTTGTCTTTAACGCTAAATTAACTTAATTTGATTTGGCCAGGTCGCAGTCGACGATACAGTCTGTCTCTGCCTCTGCCTGTGACTTTGTCTGTCATCATTATTATCATCATCATCATCAACGGAACGGAAAGGAGCTTCACATTGCGTCAGTCGCACCTTCAGTCACCTTCAATTAGTTTCAGCCACAAGGCGCGCCCAACTCAGCTAATGTCTAGCACAAGGCTCCATCAGCTGCCTTATTAATTCATAAATGCGACATTTTTCCGCCTAGGTCGTGGCAAGACGCTTTAAATTTATGTCATTTCATTTAACGCCCGCAGGCCGCCATTTTGTTAGCCCTTTTCAAGAATATTGAAGCATACTTTACAGCGCCGCAAATCCGCATTAATTAACCCAGAAAGCAGCTGGCGCTCGTGTCAAAACAGGTAACTTTTATATCTTATATGAGCAAATGTGCTGGAAGGTTCACTTTGCTGATATGATGAGCTTAATTTGGCTTAAAACTTAATTGACATTAAAAACTTTTTAATTGAAAAGTCAAGCTTGACTTGTGCTTTTTAAAAGGGCTAAAAGGCGTTAAAACAAGAGTTCAAGAATTACTCAAAACTGAGTTAAAAGCAACCTGAATTGACGTTAGCTCACTCCAATTGTGGTTGCCTTATATCGTATTTTATTTGTGCTAGGAAAAAACAATTGACTTTGGCTGCAAATCATAAGAAATTAATATTGTTAAAATCTTACCGTATATAATTATCTCCTTATAAGCATCTCAACTACCTTTTCTGGTTAGTCAAAGGTGACATAAATTTTAAAGCTAAAGCAGTTTTACAGATGTTTTTGCATGGTTGAATATATTTTTATTCCCTTTTTTAATGGCGTCGCAAACATTTTCCTTAATTTCGCCCCTTACATTCGCAAATGAATGTCAATGCCTGTGCTAAGCACGCACTCACACACACACACACACACACACACACACACATGCGCTAGATTGGGTCAGACATGGAATGTATTCGTTTTACGAGGCGCGCGCCCGCATCATTTGCCATACATACACACAGTCCAAAATAACTGCGTACAACTCTTATTTGCCGTTAGTTTTAAAGGCCCAAACGTGCTTTATGTATATGTATGAGTCGGAATATGTATGCGTATGTGCTGGTCATAAAATAACAGTAGAGGAAAATAATTGCGCGTTAGAGCTATTTATGCCTTCGACACACTTATGTTTCTCCAGCGCAAACCAAGCGGATTTTACTGAGTCCGACATAAAGTATATGTTTTATATACGTTTTTCCCCTCTGAATCTATTAGCACAATCAGGTACCTTTTTTCTATAGTTTTTTTATTATTATGAAATTTGTAGTTATAATAAAACATTAAAAAAAAAACCTTATCAATCGATGCCTCCTGTGAGGGTTGAACTCACGGCCTTTGGTTTACGAGACCAACGCTCTACCACTGAGCTAAAGAGGCGCCGATGAAAGCGCGGCCAAATCAGCAATACAAAATGCCACTTAAAGAACCTAGGTAATATGTGAATAATACTGTCTTTTAAGTAGCTTTGTCTGAAGATCACGTCTCTTTTGCGTGTTGAGCACTGACATGCGCAGAAAACTCTAGAGAAATGTGTTGTTTTGGTGAATTAAAATTGAAAAGAATGTTAAGTTGAACATTATATTTGTGTAATCGAAATGGAATCAGAGAAAGAAATAAACTAATAAGAAGTAACAAATTAAAAATAAAATATCTTTAAAAATATTCTCAATACTCATTAATAAAATGTAATAGAAAATATTTTAAAAAATAAAGTCAAGTATTCAACTGCCTCCTGTGAGGGTTGAACTCACGGCCTTTGGTTTACGAGACCAACGCTCTACCACTGAGCTAAAGAGGCGACGATAGAGTCGTTGCCCAATGTTGCATATAAAACAACTCACTGAGCGGCAACCGTTGCGAGCACAGAGAGCGAGCGAGCACAATTTATTTTAAGAGATGGGCGTGCGCATTGCTGGAAATTTAACTGACCGCTAAAACTATGCAAGTGAAGAGATATGAGAACATTTATACATAAATACAAAGGTGTAGTATAATATATACACAGTATATACATATTAAAAATAATTGTTTATGCAAACAAAACCAAATGTTTAAGTTATGTTCTTTTCTTATCATCTACTGTTAAAGTGAAAGCGAACAGTATTTTACTACCTATGATAAGGTTATCTTAAAACACTTCCAATGAAAAACATTTCGTAATTAGATAATTAGCACAATGATTCTATTTTTTAAAAAACCATTTTACTCCATGACAATCTCAAGATATTATCACACTCAAATTGTCTGTTTTTCCAATTGAACGACTAACTGTCAGCCAAAAGCAAGTGACACGCAAATAAGCTATTAACAAATATTATATTATTAACAAATAAGCTATTAACAATCAACAGGGCAATGGCTGCGAGTATCTAAATTGTCATGAATTTAAGTGATTTGAATTATTCATGCATTTACAATATTTCTTAAAGGTATTTATTACTTGTAGCTCCTCAGCTCAAAATATTCTGTGAATTAAAGAAGTTCATCAAGTTCATCCTTCAACTTCTCAGCTGATTAATGAAGCCAAACTAAGGTATTTATACATATGTATATAACATGTGCCGCACAAAAGCCATAAAGTGGAACGCGCCAAATCTTTAGGTCAATAAATTAATTAATCAACAATGCTGCGAACTGTGAGAGTTTCCCATTTTCTGCTGCCGCCTGCTTTTAGCAGGTAATTATACGCCAGGTGTTGGCTATTTTAATTGTTAGAGTTGAGTTAGTTGCTAGATATTTCAGATTAAGAACACGTCAATAGTTTCGTATGTAAATAGCTAACAAATCTCTCACCAAAAATTGACTAATGCTTAATTTGTCCCCTTGGACCCTTACACCCCTTACTCCCCCACTGGAAAAGTCATTAAATATACTAACAGTCCATAAAAATTCAAGAGTGGAATGCGATATTTATATTTTAACGACCTAGTCGATAATTGAAGTGCAAATATAATCAAAAGCCGTGCAAATCAATGAGGCGACCGACCGCATGGCCAATGAATTGACCTCTCATTAGCCATAAAGAAATATAAATACAGATGCATTAGTGTCAAAAAGAGATGG